ATTATCCTATATGATTATATTCAGGTTAAAATCTTTTATAAAAGATTAAAAGAATATTTTTTTTTGTAACTTTAGGATAAGGAAGTAAGTAATTTAATGAAATTGAAATCATTACGTGTTCTTCATTATTTAACACATACGTTTAATGAATCTCTTCAATGGCTTGATCAAAAACAAATTGCTTATGGATCAATAAAGGATCATCATCATCATCAGTCGACTACAAACAGGCGTGGTTTACAGGCGATAACAATATCGTGCCAAGGCGTCGAGTTAGTAAAGGATAATACTATTAAAAATATTGATCCACTTGATAATATTATTATATGTGTACCAGTTACTTTTGATTTAAATTCTCAAGATTTACTCAAACAATTTCATATCTTAAAAATAAAATTAAATGCATCAAATGCAAAATATATTAGTGATGCTATGTTAACTATTTCACGTCGAATACCTGCAGATATATTTCTACAACATTATATAGAATTGGTTCGTAGTGAACAATTAACAAAACTTGGTAAATACGATATTTTTATTTTCTCATATGATTCATTTTAAAACGATATTTTAAGTATAATTTCACATGACAAATCGTAATAGACGTGATTAGAAACTTGAAAAATGCTAAAATATTATTTTCTTTCTCGTAGAGAGGAGTCTTACAAACATAAGCTATCTACTTGCTTGCTTGTGTCCGCACTTCACAGATTAGTCGAAGACTAATATGGAAACAAACAAGATTGGTTTCCACAAACTTTGACTATAGAGTAATCGGGATCGAGGAACACGAATCTGAAGTCGATTTTTTGAAATTGGTTGAATAGATAGTTTACTGATAGTTAAGACACATCTTTTCTGCGATAGAGAACTGAAAGGATCTCGAGACGAGCGTTACTTGTCCGAATAATATTTTGTTTCACCGCAGATATACTAGGCAGGAACAGCATGACAAATGATCTGTTTTAAAAACTTGTTCACGGTTATGTTTAATTACACATCGATGAAGAAATAATGATGACTTTCGTCATAAGATCCTTGAATTCATTGCTACTGTGAAAGATAAAATAAGACAGCATCCATGAAAGAGACTAGTTCCGTTCACATCAACAGCATATCGATTAAGAGATGTATTACTATGTTGTTGTTCAATGTATAAATATTTCTAGATTATCCGATCTTTTTACTCAAGAACATTTGTACGAATTGTTTCCTTATGTTTAATAGGTATAACATCAAACAAAGAAATTATTCGTTTATTAAATGAATATGCATCTGATTCTAATTTAATAACATCTGTTATAAGACCTTTATGGGATAGTCGACCTCATCCAGATATTCGTGCTTGTCTTATTTTAACATTACTTCAATTTATTGATAAAGTACATTCGAATGATGACAAAATCATAATTTGGAAAATTTTGGAAGAAGCTGCTGATGATAATTATCTTCCAGTTGTTCAAACTCTATTTCCTGAATATCGAGGAAGTTCTCGTTGGCCATTATCTCGTTCAATATATTCGTCAGATGATACTTTTGAACTATTTATTAATCGAATTCAATTTAAAGTATTAGATCATCCAACATCATTAGAAGCACGTTTATGGGCTTGGACAAATATTAATTATAAAAAGTATAATTCAGAGAGATTAATTGAAAAAAGTAAACAATTATGTGTTCAATTCGATAAAAATGCAAATATTCTATGGGAAACTGCTTTTAATCAATTAATACTATGTTATAAACATCATCAGATGTAAGCTATGAAGAAAAATAGAATTAATATAAAACAATAAAAATCGTTTTATTTTTTTTATAGATCACTAATAGATCCAATTATTGATATTATTAAAAATCTTATGTCACATAGAGATGAAATTGATTCGAAAGAAAATGCGATTAATAATCAACAAGATTTACCAATTTATCATCGTATTCAACGTATTTTAACAAAATTAATTTCTTATATGAAACAATTATCTAATGATGAAAAACTTCCTCTTCGTTCTTTTGCAATAATGATATTTCAATTTGATAAAACATTTGCTCTTCTTACTGGTACATTATTAATAAATACTGCTCAAAATAGAGATGATCTTGAATCAATGTTAATTTTATTTCAAGAAAATTTATCGGAAAATTATTATGAAAGAATAATAGAGCAATTAGGAAATATTCTTTATAAATCGTGTCATTTTGTACAACAATTAAGTGCTATTGAAAGATTTGATTTAGCACAATGGTTTATTAATGAAAAAGATCAAGGGTTATTTGTTTTTGCTTTACTTAAAAAGAATGTATTTTCACAATCTGGCGTTGACAGAGAACAATGTCAAAATCTTCTTCGACAATTAAGAAAAAGTGAAAATTTATTATTAAGACAACAAGCTTTGGGATATACTGTAAATTGGGCAAAGAAGAAATGGAAACTTATTAAAAAACAGCGAGATCGAATAGCTGTTTCGAATCATCCTTCAGAGTTAAATACAGACGATGTTAACTTTTTCGATATATTTGATAATATTTAAAGTTAATAAGCATTATACTACAGTTTTCTCGATTTATTTTAAAAGCGTTTATTGAAGACTTGAATATATACATCTGAAAAAATAGGCTGGCTTTTATACTTAGTTATCTATGCTTATTAACAGTAACAGAAGATCAAAATTTTGAATTATTTAATATAATGTGTGTGTTTTATTTTCATTAAAATAAAATCTTTAAAAAAGAAACATATCAGAAAACAACTTTTTCTTATTACTAGAAAATCATTGTACGACGATTACAACTAATCAAATACGATCTACTTCTGTACCGTTTTAGAACCGCGAACAGGGTGTAGGTGAGAGTTTATCTTATATATTCTACCTATCCCAAAATCACATTTATTAATAATTTATAATTATAAATTTCAATTATTTCATATCCAATGTAAACAACTTTCAAGTGATACAATATTTATTAGAATGAAGTTTTTTTTTGTCTGTCATATATATTTTATTTAAAATCCTACATGACTCCATTCACTAAATCCATATCCAGTTAAATTTTGTTCTAAAACTTTCCAATTGCCTCCTTGATTTTCATAAAAAGAAACTTGATATTGAGAAATTTGTTCGAAAACATCTAATCCTAAACCACGACCACCAGGATTATTATTGCTTACTCTAGCTTTATATGCAATATCAATTTTATAATTTTTATTTTCTGTTTGAACTCTTGTATGAATAGCATATTTTTTATTATCAACAATTTGCCATTCTAATGGTGTTAAATGAAATGCATTACCACATAATGTTCCGATTTTAATTCGTAAATTTCTCCATCGAATAAATACATATCCAATATATTCATTAGTTAATGGAATATGATAACTACCTAAAACAAATGAAAATTCTTTATCAATACGATGAAATTGTGACCAAATCCAATTGAAAAGATTTGTTGGCCAAGCACCATAATTATGATCATGATAAGCAGTCGTGTTAATCGTAACTCGAGTATTATTATATTGTATAACTCCATATACATTAGCACTAGGCATATATGATATCCAATCTAATTCTAACAATTGAGGTACATCTATTCTTTGTCTACAAGCATATGACATTTGCTTAAATGTTAATGACCAATTTATTTGACCATTTCTGCTACTGCCTACAACTTCATACGTTCTATCATCTAAAACTTTGATGGAATTTTGTTTTCCAACGGTAACATTTGCATTTTGTTTATGAGCAGAAAAATCTTCGTAACTGTATGTATCTAAAATACCTATTGGATCTTGCCCAGTATTATTTGATACGGAAGTCCATAACATTCCAGCAATATCTGATGATTGCAAACTAAATGTTTTGGCTGGATCTGCAACACCATATCCCATACAAAATCCAATGTCAACTATTGGATCATACAAAGCAAAGAACCACCATTCTCTATATAAGGCCGATATTAATGGATCTTTACCACGTATATATTGATATCCATCACTTTCTAAACTAAGTGTTTCATTATCAGGACAAATCTCTGCTTTACATCCAATTAATATGATCAAAAATGTGAAAATAAATAAGATTTCTTTTTTGAAAAGCATTGTTTATCAAACTTCCTAACACGTGCTGTAAAATGACAAAACAAAGTCTTATATTTATGAATAAGAAAAGATAAGACATGCTCTTTTTCTATTATTATCAGCACAGGATACCTTTTGTAAAGTATCTCTAATTGACGTCATCATTTTTTTAAAATAAGAACAGATTTGTTAGCATACTCTATATACTGACACATTTTAAAAATCAACGCAATAAGTTAGTCAACAGAACAAACTTCACAGTATTTTTTAGTGTATTTAACAGTTCAAGTGATAGAATTACGGAAAAGATAGTAAACAAAAATACGATAGTATGATTTGCTTTAGTATATAACCATGAAAATAGTCACAATTTGAGTCGTTCGAATGTTTTCAAACAAAATTTAAATTAAATTTTTAGTTTAAGATATTCAAATTGAAAAATATTTAATATATTACATAGATCATGCCGATGACCACCTTTAGAAAATATGATGAGATATAAATTTACTGTATCGCTGATATTCAGTTTATAATATGTGTTTGATATAAATCTGTACGTTATTTATGTTAATTAAAAAAATCCTTTGTATTATAAAAATTCTTTGACCTTATGCCGTTTAAAGTCATCCAAGTAAAGATTTCAAGTATAATAATGAAATTATTACGATGATTTTTATGAGAATATAAGATGAAAAGGTTTTATCACATATTAGCAATATGATACTGTTTTTGTATAACATATCTTTGTATTATTTAAGAAAGATAAATACTTAATTTTTCCATTGTATTAAATTCTAATTCTCTTGACCGTAGCGAGAATTGTATGAAATACATTGCATTTGTGTGTGCGTTTGTATTCGTATTAGTATCATTTAAAGAATCTGAGTGCGTGATTATTTTCTCAAAGCTTTTGATCTAAAAACGTTTTCATTAAAAGAAGGCTATTTGAGAGAAAACACAATATTTTTACTTTTGTAAAATTTATTAAATATTATTCATTTTCTGTCATAAATGGTTTTGTAGAAACAAATTTTATCATATCTGGTGATGAGTCGATCGTATCCAGACGAGGATTAACTGAATCAAAGCGACGAGCATTACTTGTTTTAATTCGAAAGAATAAAAGAAATAGTAATTGATTTATTTCTACCTATAAAAAATGTAAACAAACATTTTTTATTAAACAAAGAAAATATTGTACAGTATAATACAAACTTAACATTGATGAAAGTGCAACTGAATTTTAATTCTTCAGTATCGTTTTCTTATCTATTTTGAAAAATGAATTTTTCGATAAAATAATAGAAGTGAATAACTTCTAGAAAAACCATCAGCACATAAGACTCTAATAAATTATCGAAATTTTGAGTTAATATGAATAATACTTGTTTCTTTAAATGTAATAAAGACATTTTGTTTTCCTATTATAGATAAATTATTTGATTTGTTATCATTTCAAAGTGTCATTGGCTTTGAAATAAATAAATCAAACAATAACCTCAGGTAATCCACAAAATAGATTTATCGAAATGCTTTGTAAATTAAACAGTCTATTAAAATTTTAAACATTCAATATCTTTAACGACTTCCTGAATTATATATCTTTATATTGATAAAATATGATAATCATGATTGAGTCTAAGTTGGGGCGTGGCTTATGTGAATCGAATTATACACATGAAACGTTTTTTCTCTTTTCCTTTGATATTATTCAGTTGTATATTTATTTATTTGTTGATAATCAAAAAACTATTTTTCACGTGCTGGATTTCCACTTAAAATAATTGTTTATTTTACCAATTCCATTGTTGTTCACTAATGAATACAAAACTTCCTAAGTCTTCCAATGTATGAAAGACTCTATTAAAAAATATTTTTCGATAAACGTTTTTTACGATAAATTATAGAGAATACGCCTTACTTGCCAACGTGTTTTTTCGATAATGTACTTTTTTCGTACTGACATCGTTTGCTCACTCAACCAGAATAAAATAAAAGTGCATTGATGATAATATTAGACCATATGCTTTTCATTATTACGAATAATTATACATACCTATTACGTGCGGAGTGTAAAATACAGCTGCTTTGCATTGATATATGTATAATTCCTGATTTTGTGGTAGCATTAATTATATCTTGAAAATATCGATAGTATTTCATCATGGTCAACTGGTCATCAGTAAGAAGATAACAACCAATATTTATTTTCGATTACTATTGTTCGTGAGTGTGCTGTTTTTCTCTAGCAGATTGAAACTTCATGTATTTATCGATAATTTAAATGTCGATAAAAATTATACAAAGAAAAGATGTATTGAGAAAATATCTTTGTCAACAAGTCATAAATGTAACCATCTATTGAAGTATTCGTTTTTTTTT